GAAACCTGTCACTTAATATAAGAGACTGGCTAGGTTATATTTTAAGAAAAATAAACTCCATAATAAAAATCAAATTCCTTTTCAACCTTGTTCACTTGTTCAAAGGAAACCGTACAATTAGAGTAGGGAAGATGTGTGTACCAGTGGCTAGAGCTGGAAAATAAGACTCTGGAGACCTGCATTCTGTTGCCAACTCTGTCACTAAGTCACTTTGTGACCCTGGATCAAGGCACAATCTTTCTATGCTATTGTTTCCCCTTTTGTATAAATGCTGATAACAATACTTACCTCTGAAAAGAACTTTGATATCTGTGGATGAAAAGTTTTCTAGAAATTCTAAATTTTATTACCATTATTATAGTCTTAATAGGAAATAAGTACATTTCCCCCCCAATACTAAACCAGGTCAGAAGTCAGATATCACATTTCATTTTCCGATAACTAGTTTACTTCCCCCACCATTTAGCCTCTTGTCACACAGTGACACTGACCCTTTAAGAAGGAGCAGCACACTCCAATTTGGCCGATTAATTGGATTTAAAAGAGGGCTCTTGGGCCCTAGGGAAACAGAGATCTGGTGAGTCAGGGCTGCCTGAGAGGAGAAGCTTGAGTATGAGATAAAAGCTGGCACAGACTATATGTGATCCCTGGGAGAAGGCAGGAGAGCAGCAGGAGGGGTTTGTTGGCTGGCATCCCCAAGCCAGCGAGCCAGGGCAGTAGCACTGAAGGCCAGGGAGCAGCAGAGGGAGTTGCCTGCTGGCCCTAAGCTGAAGAGTCAGAGCTAAAGGCCAAAAGCAGAGGAGGAGCTTACCTGCCAACATCTCCAGAGTTGGAGAGCTGAACCCAGAGGAACAGAGAGAGGGCCAAGGAGAGTGAGGGATGCTCCCCTGGCAAGAGAGGCTGTGGCTGTTTCTGCAGGGAAGAGTGGGGTTGCACGCTAGCTGAAAGGGCTGGGGTGGCTGTCCAGGGCCAGAGGAAGAGCAGAAGACTGACAGGGTCTGAGTGTGGTCAAAGTGGCTGGTGTGTTGTATAGGGCATATTGAGGGACTAGATGTTGGGGATCTTAATCACTATTTAAACTGAGTGTGATAAATTAATTTTGTGTTGGGACTATTGTTATGGACTATTTTGCATAAATTTTTAATAATAAACCAGTCCAACAGAGGGGTTTTATTGCGAGAGCAGAGTGTCCATGGAGTTAGTAGGTTATGAGAGGGGGAAACCTGGGTTATATGAAGCAGGGTGCCATAGCCACGAGGGAGTGCTCAGGAGGTGGCCAACCCTATTATGCTGCTCTACATCATTTAGTAGTTTACTGTGATCTTTCATTTACAAGTTAACCACAACTTTATTTTCTAAAGCTTCCCATTATACTGATCTTACATATCAAAGACCAGATTTACGACAGGTACTACTTTTTCGTATTTCATGTCTAACCCGTAGTAGTACACCACTTATTCCTAAATGATTTGCTTAAGAATTCTACAGTTCATTGCATTAGCATCAATATATTTTAGCTCTACAATAAAATTAAAACAAAAACACCTACTGGATTGTTATTGGTTTTCCCTGCAAGGATGACTCTAGCTTTGACCTTGTTCATATTGAAGTTTTTCAGATAGGCCTCATAGATTCTCTTGGCAAGAGATTTAAGATCTGCCATTTCTGAATCTTCCACATCTTGTTCACCTGTTAGAATTTCTGCTTTCAACTTTGCCTTCTCAGACCTTGGCATTCGTCCAAAACGAATTGCTGGTAAAAAGACAATTATGAAACAAATACATAAATTCTATACAAGTCCATACTATTTTTTCCTCCCTGAATACAGCAGTCAAATTTCTATCTAGAAGGAGTAATGACTAGAGGTAGGACATGCTGACTCTAATAAAGCCATGAATTAAATAAGACAGCCCTTCCCCGCATAATTACTCCCTAATTATTAAATCACCAATCTCCAATGAGGATAATCAAATGTCATGCTTCAGAGCATAAGCTGATAGCTGCAGTGGTCCAGAATTAGTGCACTCCGCTGTATGCAGAGGGGAAAGGGCAATGTACTACTAACTGTTTGCCTTCAGTTGAAGCATCCTATTCTAGCCATAGCTGTTGGCAGGAGACTAAACCGGACTAGATATTTATTTAATGATTATATACTTGCTGTGAAAGATTGGAAAGCAGCCAGTAGACATATGTCCCATAAATAAAATTTGGAACACTCAGATCTAGTACTATCCCAAATTACAAAATACACTATATTTTTAAATCCTCAGAAGATATGGGGTGCTTGAATACAAATAGATTAATCCACATATAAAACAAGCTCCAAAATGCAAACAATGTCTTCCACATAAAGAAATAATAGAATAAAAAGTTAAGAAAAGTTTTTTAAAATAATATTAATGACAGTTGCAGTCAAGATCCCTACATTTCAGACACACACTAAGTATTTAACTGTAGATTTATTCTACTTGATGACTAACAAAATTGAAATGATTTTAAAATATTTAGAGGACCAGACAAACAAATGGCAACTATAAAATTAGGATATATTTTCTGGAAATGAAAGGCGATTTTCTGATGACCCTAATAGTAAAAGTGAACTAATACATACTTTTAGTGACCTTTCATTTTGTTGATCAAACTGAATTATACATCAGAGGAGAAATCTCACAAACGTGCATTCTTAAGCTAGCCTTCAATATTTTTTTCCTCATTCCCAGTTAACCATGCTCACATGCCTCTTCCGCACTTAATTTTTAAAGCGAGTCTTTTGGTTTTTTGGGGAGGAAAATGACCTTTAAACTAGTCCATACACCGTGCACCTAAAACATGCTTACTCCAGAACAGAGGAAAAGGAGGAAAGCAAAACACAAAACAAACGAACCCCACTAATTAGGCCTTGATCCTGTACTGAGAACAAAATCCTGCACACAAGCGTTCTCAATGCAGGATCAGGGCCTCATTTTAATACACTGTAAACACCTGAGACTGAGGGCATGGCTACACTCGAAACTCCAAAGCGCTGCCGCGGGAGCACTCCCGTGGCAGCGCTTTGAAGTGCAAGTGTGGTCGCGCACCAGCGCTGGGAGAGAGCTCTCCCAGCACTGCAGGTACTCCACCTCCCCAAGGGGATTAGCTTACAGCTGGGGCACTGTTTACACTGGTACTTTACAGCGCTGTAACTTGCTGCGCTCAGGGGGGTGTTTTTTCACACCCCTGAACGAGAAAGTTGCAGCGCTGTAAAGCACCAGTGTAGCCATAGTCTTAATTCTGTAACCCTTGCTCACACAAGTAACTGTGTGGAACCACTCATGTGAGTAAAGTTATTCACATGCCTGCTTGCGGAATTGGGAACAAATTATTAAGGGCACTCTTACCTACCATTATGTGACATTCCAACTGAAAGGCACTTTTGAAAACGACAGTATTGGCACTTATTACGATTTTTTTTCTGAATTTTGCAGGTACGATCACATTTATCATAGATGAGTTTAAGTCGAATTGTTCTCCTAAAAAATCCCTGTAAAAAGTTTGAGAGAACATTATATACTGTCAAAAATGTGAGCTAATAGTCTTCCAATAAATCTTACTCATACCGCTACATTTTCTCTTTTCTTTCTGTCTTATTTTTCTACAATTGACACTTACAGAAACTAAAGGTAAATGTTAATAAATTAAGAGTAACTTAATAAAATACATAACATTTAGTATTAATTAATATTTATTAATATATTTAGTATTATAAATATAATACAAGATAAAAATAATCTTATTTATAAAGATAAAAATAATTAAAGAAATTATTTAAGATAAAATAATCTTATTAATTTTAAGATAATATAAATATGTTCTTATAATAAGATAAAAATAATTAAAGTAAGTACGATCTGTCAAAAGGTAATAGCTTCCTACTTCACTGAATACAGCATTACATGGAGGCCAGATTCTCACCTGCACTGAGTTTATACTTGGCCCAGATAGAATGTGGGGGGGTGGGGAAGGTAGCGTTAAGCCTCCTTTCTGCACTCCTGATCCTTTGCAGGCTGGGGGGGCCAAGATGACTCTTAATGTACTATCACAGCAGCCTTTAAGGATCAAGCAGAACAACCATGCACTGTGCCCTGCACCTTCTGCCCTAGCATACCCTTTGCCAGCCCCCTCTTCCTGTCAGAAAGAATCCTCATCTGCCACACATGTGTCCACACATCCGCAATAGATGGTTATGTGCAGGAAGAGCACATGTTAACAGCACAAAGGGTTGGGGATTCACAGGAAAGAGCAAGGGTGTAGAGGAAGAACTAAGGATAGACACCTGGGCACCAGAGAAAAGCCTATAAACAGGGGCAGCCCGTCCATATAGGTGAACCAGGCAGTCGCCTAGGGTGCCAAGTTAAATGAGGTGCCAAATTCGAGGGGAAAAAATCAAATGAAATTAAAAAAATTGAAAAATATGGAAAAAATACAAATAAAATAATGAAGATGTCATTATTTTAATTCCCGTGCATGTATGGAGAGAATATGAATTATAATTCATTTCTCTACATTTCTGAGAATTTATTAATAGGTCAAATCTTTTATTTACTGCAAAAATAAATAATATTTTAGCAATTTTTTTTTCCAATTTGCGACGTGGGGTCAAGATGATCCACTCCGCAATTTTGATAAGCAATAACTTAGCCACAGTGAAACACATCCGACAGCGGCAAGAGCTGCAATGCTAGTGACCCCTAACTTGAATATACAACAAGGTCGCATAGCCAGAAATTCATGTAGAGAGGAGATATTGCAAGATGATACATGTCAAACGGTCATTTTAACATATGTCACAGGTAGATGGTTAAGAATCGAGCGAATACTGTGGAAAATTGTGTTTCTTGGTGCCAAAGAATAAAGGATAATGTCTTTCAGCATTATAAAGCCAAAATGTGAGCATCTTTAAGCGTTATTAAACCTTAGCATTATTATCGGGCTGTATAATTATAAACTTTTCTTTGTTATAACTGGTTCACATATAATAAATAAGGTCCATAAAAGAAAAGTAACAGTGTTAACCAGTGGTGAGCTGGAGCCAGTTCGCACCATTTCGCACCAACCGGTTGTTAAATTTAGAAGCCGGTTTAGAACCGGTTGTTAAAGGGGTGGGCAAACTGCGGCCCACGGGCCACGTCCGGCCCATGGGACCGTCCTGTCCGGCCCACCTGAGCTCCCGGCTGGGGAGGCTCCCCCAGCTCCTCCCCCCCGCAGAGCCTCAGCGTGCCACGCCGCTGGTGCCAGTGATCTGGATGCTCCTGGGCAGCTCTGCAGCTCCTGCTGCTTTGAGCTGCATGGTAAAGGGGTGGGGTTGCGAGCTCCAGTAGGCCTCGCAGCATCCATACACGCTGCCCTGAGCAGCATGGTAAGGGGGCTGGGTCAGGGCTAGGAGGTTGGGTTGGAGGGGGCGGAGGTTTGGAGGTTCTGGGGGGCGGGGCGTAGTCGGGGGGGTTGGGTAGGCCTGGGAGTTCTGGGGGGTCTGTCGGGGTGGTGGTGGATGGGGTCGGAGCAGTCAGGGGACAGGGAGCGGGGCGAGTTGGGTAAGGGGTGGGGTCCTGGGGGGGTCTCAGGAAGGGGTGGTCAGGGGACAAGGAGTGGGGGGAGTTGATGGGTTGCGGGTTCTGAGGGGGGCAGTCGGGGGCAGGACCTGGGTGGGGGTCAGATACGGGGGAGGGGGAAGACAGGCTGTTTTGGGAGGCACGTGGGGCTTGTACTCACCAGGCAGTTCCCTACCGGGTCTTCAGCGGCACATCCTTCACTCGCTCTGGGTCTTCGAAGACCCGGAGCGAGTGAAGGACTCGCTGCTGAAGTGCCGCCAAAGAACCGGTAGGGAACCTGTTCTTAAGATTTTTGGCAACTCATCACTGGCGTTAACGCTTAATAGACTACGAAAGTGATGACATCACACTCCAAGCAGGTAACCGTGAGGAAGAGGATTACTTTCCAAACAACCAGTGTCGGGTTATAAAGTCAAAAAAGGTCATTTTGTTTCTGTGTAAACGCTGTAACTAACTGTTTTAATAGGTAAGTGAGTATGTTACTAATCACTGAACCTTTAAGCAGTGAAAAGACGTGTTGCGATGGCTGCAATGTGGTTTAAATCACCAACCATGTGGTGCATCAGCCATCATTAATGCTATAATACTTGCAGTTGGGAGCACAGTACACAATATTCAAATGCCCCATGGCAGAAAGAGGAAAAAGAAAACCCTCATGAACCGAGTATCGTAAACGAAAGTCTGAGAAGGAAAAGGACCAAGCAAAACAGCAGGGATCCTTCCTGAAGTATCTTCTCTTTAATCCAAATAAAGATGGAAGCAGTTCATAGCATCCAGATGAAGGAATTTAACTTGGAGAGGAAGTTAACTCATATCCGCATGGAAGCAGTTTAGAACATCAAGATGAAGGTATATTACTTCAAGATGAGAGTAGCTCACATCCACAAAAAAGCAGTTTGGAAACTCAAGATAATGGAAACTTACTTCTAGATGAAGGCAGCTCACAGCATCAGACTGATATAGAAGTTGAGAAAATTTATTCACCTTCAGAGAGACATGCAGAAATTGAAGTAAAGTAGAAGGAAGAAAGGATGAGGAAGTCACAAACAAGTTACAGTATGGGGACCCAGCTTCATGGCCCAGATGTGATGACAGTGTGCGGCAAATATTCGTGGAACATGGATCTGAACAAGTTCATGAATTTCCCTTCCCTAAGGAGAGAAATAAAAGAAAATTCTCTGCTCAGCATTACAAGAGGAAACTCTTTAATGGGAAAGAAATTCATCGAAACTAGTTACAATATTCAGAGTCAAAGAACTTTGTGTTTTGCTTTTGCTGCAAGTTGTTTAGAAATCAAGCAATTGGTACATCATACTGAAAATGGTTCGAAGGCCCAAAAACATATCTTCAATTCTCTCTTCACATGAAAGAAGTATTTGGAATGTTTTCAAAATTGGAAAGAACTTGAATTATGATTGAAAAAAGAAAAACTATCGAAGAAAATGTACGTGTGATCAAGGAAAAAAGAATATTGGCAACAAATATTAGAGCATCTGATTGCTTTAGTGAGAGTTCTCAGTGGGCAAAATTTAGCATTCCTCAGCCATGGTAGAAATGAAAAATTTTACACTCCGGGTAATGGAAACTTTTTAAAATGTGTTGAATACGTACCTTTGTTTGATCCAGTCATGAAGGAGCATCTATGCAAAATAACTGATCATGAAACACAGGTTCATTACTTAGGAAAAATATGCAGAATGAAATTATTCAAATCCTAGCAAATGCCATTAAAAAGAAAATTGTAGAAACTGCCCATTCTGCAAAATATTTTTCAATAATACTGGACTGTACACCAGATGTGAATCATGTTGAACAAATGACGATCATTCATTTTGTGGATATGGAAAAGTCTGCAGAGGAAGATAATGTTGAAGTGCTCATAAAGGAACCTTTTTTGCATTTCGTATCACTGAAGGAGACCACTGGAGCATTCATGTCTGAAACTATTCTACAAGAGCTTGAAACAATGTCATTATCTGTTGAAAACTTACGTGGCCAAGGCTATGATAATGGGAGTAATATGAAGGGTAAAGACAATGGTGTGCATAGGAAAATGATGGAAATCAATCCTAGGGCCTTTTTCGTTCCTTGCAGTACACATTCTCTGAATTTGTCTGTCAATGCTGCTGCTAGATGCTGTTTGGAGGCAAGCAGTTTCTTTGACCTGGTGCAACATGTTTGTGTGTTTTTCTCAAGTTCAACATGCCATTGGGAGATTCTGACTCACCATGTGAATTATATAACTGTGAAACCACTTAGTCAGACAAGATGGGAGAGTCGCATTGATGCTTTGAAGCCTCTTCGCTACGAACTTGGAAACATTTATGATGCCCTAACTGAAATTTCTGATACTACCTTTACTGGATCATCTGGCAATACGGCATGTTCAGATGCAGAAGCTCTTGCAAATGGCCTTTCCAAGTTCAAATTTGTGACTTCACTCATTTTGTGGTATAATATCCTTTTCGAGATTAACCTCACTAGTAAGCAGCTTCAGGAAAAGAACTTGAACATACATGCTGCTATTCAAAAACTGAAGCAAACTAAAAATATTCTGGAGGAATTCAGAAGTGATGAAGGATTCAAAAGAACACTGGTATATTCTCTCGAGCTTGCTGAAGGAACAGACTTTCCAACAGAATTTGAATCAGAGCCAGTTCGCATTTGGCAAAATAAACAGCAGTTTTCGTATGAAGGACAAGACACACCCATTCAGAACCCAAAACAAAGGTTCAAAGTGAATTTCTACTTTGCAGTCCTTGATACTGCTATTCACTCGGTTGACGAAAGATTTCAACAGATGCAGCAGCTAGAGTCGGTATTTGGCTTTCTATATGATATCCACAGCTTGCAAAAGAAAACAGCAAAACAGATAAGAGAATTTCGTATAAAACTGGAGTCGGCATTGACTCATGAAAATTCAAAAGACATTGATGCTACAGATTTGTGTAGTGAGCTTCAGGTTTTTTTAAGATGACTTAAGAAACATTCCACTCCTGAAGAAGTACTGAGTTTATTTGTGAAAATAAACTCAGACAGTTTTTCAAACATTTTTATAGCTCTACACATTCTTTTAACTTTGCCAGTTTCCGTAGCTAGTGGGGAAAGTAGCTTCTCAAAGTTAAAATTGATAAAAATATATCTGCATTCAACAATGGTGCAAGAGAGACTTGTCGGACTTGCCACAATGTCAACAGAGCATGAAATAGCTGGAAAACCGGATCTAAAAGAACTAGTAACTGAATTTTCAAAACTTAAAGCAAGAAAAATCATGTTTTAAGAGCACAGCATGTTTTTTATTCGGAGTGTTTTGTAACTACAGGTTAAAGTTCATTGAAGAGTTTTTTTTATTTCTTTCTATGTTGGATGTGGTGGTAATGGCAGTTAAAGCAGGATAGCATAATGGATGATTTTGGATTTGTAATAATAAAAATTATAATTAACATGTTTAATGCATTTTTATTTGAAATTGGACTGAAATATCATCTAGCTGCCAGGTACAAATCTATTCTGAAAATTTTGTGTCTCTATGTTATCTGATCTCAGAAACATTGGTTGGACAGACGGACAAACCGAATAATTAAGCCTCTGTTTAAAAAACAAAAACAAAAAACATTAAAAGGAAAAATGGGCCAAAATTTTTCTAAGTTTACCAAAGACCTCAGCCTAAATCTGCCCTTGGGGTTTGGGGCACCGACTGCATGGGTCGCCTAGGGCGCCAATTGCTGGCAGCTAATCTAGGGCTGCCCCTGCCTATAAATGATCTCACCATGATGTTCCGAGTGATACTGCAATGAAATACTAGTCTCTACAAACATTGCTACACAGCGCTGTGTCATGATAAGACATTGTGATGTGTGAAGCAAGATGTTGCCAGCATGTCATGAAGTGCCACATTTGATCATGACCTAGTTCTCTAACTCTAGAAGAATGAGTACAAATCTTCAGATTCCAGAACATTAATCCAAAAAAACTCTACATTTGAACCTTATTATTAACCTAGAGTTAAGGCTGAGTGATTGTAAAATTTTTTCAATGTTTTAAAATTGCTTCACTTTCTCAAGTCCTGTTATGTGATGCAGAAAAAAATAAAATAAAACTAGACATACATTAGAAAATAATCAAAACATAAAACCTTTATATGTTTTTGGTCATCTATCCTATACTTCAAAGATTGATGGCAAGCATGTTTGGCTTCATGACCATGTACTGGCTCCAAATTTATAATAAGTAAAACACTGTACTAAAAGCAATTCAGGTAGGATATGGTGGTGATAAGGCATTCAGGATTTGTTCATTGGAAAGATAATGGAAATGTATCAAATTCACATGGTTCCCATAGCATATTCCCAACACAAATAAAACATTAATGGAACATTTTTTTTATTCATTTTAAATTATTTTAATCTCTAATGATAACTAGTTCTTTTCACAAAAACACTGCTTATAATCATCATCAACTGCCTTTCTTGAAGAAGTTCTAGTGTCAAATTATGGTACCAGACAAAAATACTTCTTGAGAAGATCACAAGTGACTATTATTTAAATTATGTTTTCTTTTTACAGCTAGACTCATTTTAATTAGCCATTTACAAAGCAACTATGTTTTTTCTTCATATAACCCTGTAAATAAAGCAATATGGTTTAGGCTATTAAAAAAAAAATCAACTGTACCTTACAACCTTCACAAGCATGTACTCCATAATGGAAGCCAGAAGCTTTGTCCCCACAAATTCTACATTCAATGTTTAATGCTCCACTGGGTGATTCATCTATGCTACCTGGAATTGTGGCAAAATTAATGGATGAAGGACTTGATGCTGGTGAAAGTGTGTCTAAAAGAAAAAGGAACATTTCATAAATTCTGTACTACCAAAATCAGTAGCAGTTCTGTGATAAACTCTTTCCTATGTGGATGAAATTTATTTTAAAAGTCTGCAATAAAAAATCATTACATGCACTATTAATTTAAACAGTAACAAATCTGTTTGAAAACTAGCTCATACTTCTATTAATAGTGCAGCAAACAAATACAGGGTCTGTACTAGAATTAACAGAAGCTAATGTCGATGATACACACAATGCACACACGAAAGGATATGAGAGCGAAGAGCCAGAACCAAAGAAGTTGTAGTGGTATTTCAACAACAGTTCAGTAAGTATACACAGAAACTCTAAAATAATTTAAATTGTGATCCAAAAGTATCTAACTAAAGTTTTGAAATCACTTGTTAAATGAATGACAATTTAATGTTTGCAAGGGAATTTATTCATTATAATTCTCTGCAATTATCTATTTTTCAGATGTTTTACTGGTTATAAAATAATGTAAGTTGGAAATGGAAGAGTGGCATTGGCTGAACAGACTGATCCATATTGCTGGGGCAAAGCCCATGGACCAGATCCTCAAAATAGTACCATAATGCCCAGGCAGCCAATGGACCATCCTTTCTCTATGGTTATAATCAGCACAGATGGACATTACATCTTCTGCCCAGGATACCTCCTGACATGTGCTTTAGTTTAGCCTACTCAAGTCAGAGTCAGACTTGTTGTTATGAAAAGACAGCGAACACACCTTCCTGGTTAAAGCCCCCAAGTCAGCAGAACATTTAAGCACAAGCTTATCTTTAAGCATGTGTTTAAAGTCCCATTTTAGTTCAGTCGGACTACTTGTGAACTGGGGCCTAAGATAGGAGATATTGAGCTTCTAGTGCCATTCTGAAGAGTTTGCCTTTACCAGAGGAGTGAAAACAGGCCATATGATTGAACTGCAGTGAGGCTAAAGAGAAGCTTCAAAAGGAAGACAAACTAGGGACTACAATGTAGTAATTCTGGCAATCAAAACCTTCTTTGAATGACTACGCTGCCTCACCTCTCTAAATGTGAGGAAAACAATGCTCAATAACTCCGAAATAGTGAAATAACCAAGCAGAAACTGTCCAATGCTCATCTGTAAAGTTTAAACATCTTGCAAAATTAAAATGCTTCACTTTGAACCACCTCCAACAAAACCAAAAAAACCCCCCATAAGAACAGAAGAGTTGCCATACTGGGTCAGACCATGGTCTATCTTGCTCAGAACCCTGTCTCCAACAGTGGCCCGAACCAGAGCTTCAAGGAGAGCATACAGAACAGGGCAATTATGGAGTGATTCTGGTAGTCAGAGGTTTAGGGTTGCATCCCTGACCATCTTGGCTAATAGCCATTGATGGACCAATCCTCTATAAACTTAACTTGTTCTTGTTTAACCAGTTATACTGCTGGCCATCACAACATCCTATGCAATGAGTTCCACAAGTTAGTTGTGTGTTGTATGAAAGAGTACTACTTTTTGTTTCTATTAAACCTGTTGCCTATTAATTTCATCAGGTGACAAATGGTTGTTGCACTGGGTGAAGGGATAAATAACATTTGTCTATTCACTTTTTCCACATCATTCATGATTTTATAGACCTCTACCATATCCTCACTTTGTCGTCTTTTTAGTCTCTCCTCATATGGAAACTGTTTCATAACCTTGATTACCTTTGTTGTCTTTCTCTGAACTTTTTCCAGTTGCACACTATCCTTTTTTGAAATGGGATGATCAGAACTGGACACAATATTCAAGGTGTGGGCATAGCATGGATTTATATAGGCTCATTATGATATTTTTTCATCTGATTTTCCATCCCTTTCCTAACAGTTCCTAACATACTGTTAGCCTTTTTGTCCGCTGCTGTGCATTGAGCAGAAGTTTTCAGAGAACTATCCACAATGACTCTCTTTCTTAGGCATTTAGACCATTGTGTATGTATAGTTGGGATTATTTTTTCAAATGTTCATTACTTTGCACTTTCCAACATTTAATTTCATCTGCCATTTTGTTGCCCAGTGACCTGGTTTTATGAGATCCTAGGAGATAGAGTTCCCCCTTTCACAAACTCATCCCTAAGGGATGTCTCCACCCCACCATGTGCTTCTCCGCATCAATCCTCTGCAACAGTGATACTCAATAGGCAGCCCAAGGGCCAAATGTTGCCTGCCAACACTTCCTGCGTGGCCCATCAGCTCACCTTTAAAAAATGTTTATCATTAAATTCACAAACAGAGATGTGCTGTCTATCATTTGCCTACGACTTCTTTAGTAACTTAGTTCCCCAGCAAAAATTAAGCACTGCTTACTGGATCTTAAGTTCTTGCGATAGCATCGGCTATGATTGAGCTAGGATGCCATCCATTTTTTCATTACTGATGGAAATAGAGTAAAAAGTGAGTGAGAGTGGGAGTAAATGTTGCGAAGTTGACAGTGAAAACCAAACTTTTAACCCAAACTGGACAGCGGATTTTCTTTTTATTATCCCACCTCATTTAAATGCAAAACCTTTGGTGTTTAATATGCCAAACCACTGTATCCATCTGTAAAGTCACCCACGTGAGGTGCCACTTTGAATCAAAGCACAGTAATTTTAACACGTCCTATTTTCCTGGCAGTGTTGCAAAACATGACAAAATTGAAAATCTGAAGTCTTTGTATCACACTTCAAATGTCATTTTCACATCAGTTACAGTACAGGAAAAAGCAACAGCTGCTTCTCTTCAGATAATGTTGGTACTAGCTAAAAAGAAAAAGCCTTTCCTGGCTGCCGAGCTTGTGAAGGAGTGCACGTTGGAAATGCTGGAGGAGCTTTTTGCCAGAGATAAAAACAAAGATGACATTGTGAACTGTGTGAAGCAAGCTCCCGTGTTTGATTCCATAGCAGTGTGAATATTGGAGGTAATTTACAAGAATTGTTTATCATCACTGCTTTCTGATTTAAAAAACACCAAATACATGCCTCTTGCAAGCGATTTAAGTGACATGGCCCAGATATTGCTGTTTGTTAGATTTTTATGATGGTGAAATTTTCAAGGAAGAATTTTTGTGCTTAGTACCATTAGAAACCAAACCACAGGCAAGATCATTTTTGAAAAGGTAAAAGGCTTTTTTGAAAAAAAAAATGGTTTAAATCTGCAGAAAGTAAACCTGCTTGTTACAGATGGAGGTCCCTCTATGATAGGGGAAGAGAAGGGATTTGCTTCACATTTGGCAGCGATACACCCTTCATTAAAAACATGTCACTGAATCATTCACCAGACTGTCCTGCGCGGTAAGTTGTCTGGGAACTTGGGAAAAAAACAACAATGGGTATTGTGATGAGATTAGTGAACTACATATGCTTAACTTCTAGCTTGCAACATCGTCTTTTTTAAAAGTCTTTTACAAGACGTTTCAGCTGAATAGTGACCTGTTGCTGAACAATGACGTTCGCTGTTAAGTAGGAAGCATGTGTTAGAGAGGTTTTGTGCTCTTCAAAAAGAAATAACCAGAAGACCAACAAGGTGTGAGAGTTTTTTGAATTTATGAATGATGTCCCCTCTATGTCACAAATAGCTTTTTTGGTGCAATATACTGGTCACTTGAATTGCCTCAACTTGCAGCTCCAAGGCCATACAAACAGCGTCGGAGATCTGAAAAAGTGTGTGCTTTCAGAAGAATCTTAAAACCTTTCAGACAAACTTAATATGAAAGATGTTGCACTTTCCCACATTGTATGTTGTTGCTACAGATGAAACTTCAATGAAAATGATGCAAGAATTCCTAAACAATCTGATCATAAATTTTTAAATGTGATTTGAGAATTTTAAAATTCCAAAGGATTCGCTTTTGTTTGTTCATGATCCATTAGTTGTCACTGCCGGTGGACCTAGCAAAGAACTGAAGAAAAGAGCATTCTTGATAAAAGCAAAGAACATTCTTGATTAAACGGATGAAAGTACCTTTCAATTAGAAATTGTAAAACTCCAGAGCTCAGATGTCTTGAAGGCAAAATTCAGAGAAGTGAGACTTTGTGATTTCTGGATTCAATATGCTGACCAGTTTCAGAATAGCCAGAATCTAGCCATCTATCTTTTAACAAAGTTCAGATCAACGTACTTCTGTGAATCTGGGTTTTCTACCATGACTATTAAAAACCAACACTGCAATCATCTGGCAGATAAGTATCGTCACCAGTGCATGCACCTTGCCCTGACCTCCTACAAACCTTGCCAGCGATCGTCTGTTACCTCTCCCATTAGAGTTTGCCACAAACACAGGTAATAATGTTGATTTATAAACTTTGTTAAAAGATAGAAACACTAATACTTATGTTGCAATCAAGGTCTTTATTTATTGGCAGCTGAAGTTTTTGTTGTTGTTGTTTTTTAATTTTGTCAGCCTTCTGCGCAAACGGCCTGCCTCATCATAAAATTCTCAAATCAGCCTGCGGGTAGATCTAATTGAGTATCACTGTTCTAGAACTACGCTCCACCAAACTTGAAATTTTCTAAAGCTAGAAGACTTCCTTATATCTTGCAGTACACTAAGATTTTACCAAATTCACAGGTGTTTTATTTGAACAAATACATTAAAACAATTATATGAATGTAGGTCAAGGGATATGACCTTAGAAACAGGTTAACTCAGAACTTGTATTGCCAACCCCAACAACCTCAAAAATCTTGACTCAGACCACCCAAAATTATTATTATTATTTTTAAAGTTGGGTTCCTTTTATTTGCCTTCCAGATTTTGAGCCTTTGGGTTCATGTTTTCCATCTTTTCTTTGCGACCAGGAAGGCAGTAAAATCGTGAGAGTTGGTAACACCACATCACAAACTCAGATGTGTTATGTCTTCTGTTTTGGCCAGAAGGATCCTGTTTTCAATCAGCTTTCTGAACTGTTCCTGCACAGAAGTTTGAGAGCTAAGGAGATATTCTAGGCTGCATCTTTATGATTAGGGCCACTTTTGGCAGGATTTCTATTGTAAATGACGCTTGCTCTAGGCTACATCTCTGATCGGTCTCCCAAGCCATCCCTGAGTGACACTGGGCAATGCTCTAGCCATTTCTCCCTTGTCACAAGGACAAGCATACAGCAGCCACAGCTTCTGCCCTCCTGTCAGGGAACAGTAGGTGAGGTCAACCAAAGAGAAAGGAGAAGCCAGACCTAAACACCCAGGTATAGCAGCTCAGACAGAGCACTTCCCAGTTGATGGCAAGAAGCAACCAGATCTCCTTGATAGCGAAGGGCAAGAAGCAACCAGATCTCCTTGATAGCGAAGGGCAAGAAGCAGTCAGCAACAGGGGCTAACAACCCAGCCACAGCCTCATATGCATCCACTCCAGGCCGAGGGGAAACAAGGCACAGCTTCCAGAGTTAGTTGGACACTGGTCTAGGGAAATACCCCAATCAGCCAGGAGCATAAAAATCCCTATGTTCCTGAAGCTCATTCCATGCTGTAGCCTTGGCAGTCTTATGTTCTGGTAATCAGGACATTTGCTCTCATTTATGTAAATAAGTCATGTATATTTATTCAATAAGAAAGCTAGGACATTAATTAATTTGCATAAACATGCCACATTTATGCACCTTCAGCATTAAGATCTGTGATTTCAAACACTATTCTAAAGTAATTTTAATCTTCTTCTCCTTGTCCTCCAAAAGTGGTGGGGGGAAAAAAATCTCCTATTGTCACTACTGGATAAGCAAAAATGGTACACAATAACTTTAATGGCAGCACTACAGTCCTCATTTATGCCTTGTATATAACAAAAACCTCATGTAGTCAAAGATCTGAGGATTAATGGCTCTCTGCCTTAATAACTCTCTCAGATGTGTTACTGATATCAACAGAGAAACCAACATTTAAATAAGGGCATTTTGGAGAGATGAAAAGTTACAGACAAACCTTTTCACTTAACTTAACACTAGCTTAACTTTTTAGCAGTCAGAATGACTAATCTACTTTTGGCACAGATTTTACTATACATATCATGTATGTTATAAGAGTCACACAGATTGTAGTTCATGGGACTGATTCAAAGACCGCAAAATCAGGGGAATTTTTTTGAGGTATTATAAATATTATACAATATCTGCTAAGTTAGGGGGGAAATGCAGCTACTTTTGTAGTAACAGCTGTTGTGATTATTTTGAAAGATACTGGTAAAAAATGGTGTACACTAAAGGTAGTCAGCAAAATTTCATTTTAAAGGGCGCACAAATTTATACAAACCAAGCCAACATGCTTTTATCTCCACCTCATCAGTGAAACCAAAAAAACAATTTTAAATTTTTGCTTGAAAAATAATCACTTTTTCTATGGAATAACATTTATCTCACAAATTTCAGGCTGGAGTTAATTTATTGACATTATCAACAGCTGAAAGGTTTTTGTTTCCAGTGTGATCTATACATCTGAAACAGCTGTTGTAATTTAAAGGAAGGATTTGCTTAGCTCAATTAAATACATCTTATCTCAACTGATGAAGATTTACTGTATTCTAAACTCTTACCTGTAATGACTGATCCATCAGATCCTGGACCATTTCCCAAAGACTGGAGCTCTGTTACGCTTAATGCTCCAGGGCTATCATCACCAATAGACAGAGATGTCCTGTATGTTTTCCATGTCTTGTAGGAACTCTCTAGATAAGGGGCTTCCGAGATCATCCTCTAAGGGGGAAAAATTGGTTTTCTGTGTCCACCATTTAATCCTCATATTAGACTGTTGAAAAAAAGATATATATGTATAACACATTTAAACGCTCTACAAACTGAAACAATTACATACAGTGTACAAAATAAGGGAGTCCATAATTTTTAGTAAAATATTTTGTACTAAAATGTTTTTTCAGAAGCATTGTGTAAAATGAAATACTGACACGATGGCAAAAATCCCCATAGATTGACTACACAAAGAAGATTATGGCTAAGTAAGTGTCTATGTTGCCTTCTCCCTCTCTTCTGCTGTTGAAAGTGGCAAATTATGTTTCTGTAGCAGACAATAAGTATTTCAGCCTGAACTGTGCTAGGTAAATGGCAAATGTCAATAAATAAATCTACAAATTATGAATAACCATACATCAAAATACTTTACTTAGGGAATAGTTAATCCACAACTGTAGTTTGACAAGGGTCAAAAGATGTGTATCAGGTGCTCTCTTCATCCCTCCCAAATTTGTTCAGTATATCCTGTGATACGGCAGAGATCACAACTTTACCCTATGGTATAAACCTTTGGGAAATGAGCCAAACTCATTCTGGGTGCAAACCTGCTGAAGTCAGTAAAGTTACATTGGAATAACCTCACGCCTGATTTCACATTTTAAAATTTTCTTTAGTTGAATCTGCCAGAAAAGGAAACAATGGCACATACTGTATAATGTTGCTACTCACACCAAGAAATACTGCTACTAAAAGAAGCTGGCCTTTGAGGCTGAAACTAACCTACACTTAGAGCTTCATTTTCTTCAACTAGTGTAAGAACACATACTAATTCAGTATGCCCATGCACTGAATGTTCACTGCTGGTTACAGAAAAGCTCTGTTTTTTCATGATGACAAAAGTGTTGACATTTACCAACATACCACGTTCTTACCAATTTTTACATCTTCTCAGTTAACGAGAAAACTATGGTATATGCTAGCAAATGAAGTTTTAAATACATACACACAACCCCAAAGTCAATTTCTTATTTGACATTGTTAAAAGTTGTGAATATCTTTAATAACAAGCAATTTATGCTTGTTTTGAGTCACTCAATTTCCAACTAGAACCACAGAACAATACATTCAGCTCATTGAGTTTTGAGCATTTATCTTGGGAGAAATTTTTTTATTGTTTTCTTTTGCATGTAACTCAAACAAAGGCAGAGTTATGATTGACAGGCTGTGCTGATTGCTGGGGATATATCTTTTACAATGCGAAGGACATTAAAAGTCTAACAAATATCAGAAACACTCAGGGAGGACTAGTCACGTAGGAGTCTGGCCAAAGTTGTTCCAGAGGTGTAATTGAGGGTAGCTAGTGATTCAGTATGGGTAACATGAGTCTCTGCGAGACTAAACAAGTTGTTTGCAACAATGCACACTGCACACAGTTTTTACTAGTGATCTTTAATTATCAAAGAGCTTTTATAGTACTGCAGTCTCGCAGATATTCATTATACTTTCCAGAAGTTCACTAGCATATAGAAAAAAAGTCTATAGTGTTTTCCAGTGTGTGCTTATTATACCAAATTACATTGTAAGGTAAAAAATGTAGAATAGGAAACAGCAATTGAAAAGTATATAAAAAGTAATTTGTATGCTGTAGCTTGCAACCTTAACACAGGACTATCTGAGCAATTAATGTCATTTACAATGTTTGCACTGGCTTTCTGTCAAATTCCACATTAATATTAAAATCCCCCAATTCTCAAGGAGATCCCTGAATAACTGTGGTTCATCTTACTTATCCACACTCACGCATTCTGATGATAATGGATGACTAGGAATACAGATTCTAATCCTTAAAGTAAGGGAGTATGCTTCGAGTTGGAGTATATGTCCATAAATTAGCGTATTTGTTTTCCTCTAATTATGATCTGTATGACTTTGGGCAAGTTACTAAGCTTTTCTCTGCTTCTATCCCCACCCGTGAAATGGAGAAAACACTGTCCAACTTTGTAAAGCATTTTCAGACCCACTGACAAAAGACATTATACATAAAGGCGAAATATTTTTTAAATTGGGATTTGTTTCCCTGATCAGCTTGCCAGGAAAGTTTGGCTACTACTGTGGGGTTCTCTCCTTTTCAACCCACATAGTAATGTATAGCACTGGGTTATTTTAAAAATGCAGGGTCCTCCATAATCAGTGGCCTAACTCAACATGTATGTATCTGGAGGAAAAGAACTAGTACAGACACATAGATATAGGGCCTTCACTCAGTTTTCATTTGGTCCACATCACAACAATTGGGTATTTTACCTGAGTAAAAAACTGGTTAAGGAATTCAGTATTTGGCCCAGAGACTTTACAATACAAGCTTTTCCAAGAAGCACATTGTTCAAACCAGGCCAGGGAAACATTCTGTGTACCAGAAAACTGAAAAGAAACTGCAGGTAGCAAATTGTAAGAAGCATGTCTCCAAATGGCTGGTGGTACGAAGAGGGGAACAGCATTCAAGATTTATTTATTTAGGCGACAAAAAAAAAAAAAAGACAGCGGTTGAACTGCCAACTCAAAATATGGAGACAACTATTATTAAAAAGTTGCTCTACCTTACATGGGTAGGTGGTTTGGTTGGGAGTAGGAAGTACTGCTTTTCCCTGTCTAGTTGCCAGACATTTCCGAAAAATGAACACTTATTTTGTTTGTAGTGCTAGATTTCTTGGCAAGATTTGCTCCCTAAAGCTAGGCACAACCCATTTAATACAAACAGTATTACAAATAGCAACAGAGAGTCCTGTGGCACCTTTAAGACTAACAGATGTATTGGAGCATAAGCTTTCGTGGGTGCTTATGCTCCGATACATCTGTTAGTCTTAAAGGTGCCACAGGAGACTCTGTTGCTTTTTACAGATCCAGACTAACACGGCTACCCCTCTGATAGTATTACAAATATAAATCAATTTGACAAAAAGAAAGGACAGATCTTGAAATAGTAGCAACTCATCTCTAAGTGCATCTGTCTTACAATTTATAACATTTAAGAACATCTATGCTACAGAATGAGACTGGGCAAAGAAGTGATGACAAATTAAAACACCTACAGTCCTCAGCTTAAACCTCTCCAACGCATCATCAGTGATCTACAACCCATCCTGGACAATGATCCCTCACTTTCACAGACCTTGGGAGGCAGGCCAGTCCTCGCCCACAGACAACCCGCCAACCTGAAGCATATTCTCACCAGCAACCACGCACCGCACCATAACAACTCTAACTACAGTAGCCGTGTTAGTCTGAATCTGTAAAAAGCAACAGAGGGTCCTGTGGCACCTTTAAGACTAACAGAAGTATTGGGAGCATAAGCTTTCGTGGGTAAGAACCTCACTTCTTCAGATGCAAGTAATGGAAATCTCCAGAGGCAGGTATAAATTAGTATGGAGATAATGAGGTTAGTTCAATCAGGGAGGGTGAGGTGCTCTGCTAGCAGCTGAGGTGTGAACACCAAGGGAGGAGAAACTGC